CTGTTCTACCCAGCAAGTTGATAAAACTACTTCAAAGTACCTCTAATTTTAATAATCATATTCTCCAAAAATATTAAACATTTTCTAAAATCTTTCTTCATCACTTTGTTAGTATGCTGATTTTAGTTCATGCTTAATTTCTTGAGTGATAATTAATTATACTATGTGGAACACAGAATATTGAAGCTATAAAATCATAACAAATATTGAAGAACTATTATTTGTTTAGCTTTTTTAAGTAAAAGTACATGTGACAACTTTCTCATTAATGAAATGACACAATTCCCTTATATTGATATTTTTTCTCAAAATAGCTTCAATAAACAGACATTTTTAATGTTCCATTATGAAGAACTCTCAAAATTTTAGTAAATCTATTGGATAATATAAACAGATTTGACTCAGCTAGAGGATAATATAAGGCACACAATATTTCTACGTTATGAAAATAATAGTCAAGAATAATGATTGAAATCTAAAGATCATTCTTTACCAATATCTTCAAATTAAAACACCTTTAAGGCAAGGTATGTATTGTAAGAGTATAGCATACGTAGTGTTTATCCACCTGGATTTCATGAGATTTGTAATCTTCATTGTTATATTAAGCCTTAAAAATTACTTTCTGTAGTTCAAAGGGATTAAGAAAAGATCTGTCTTCGCTCTCCCATTAGCTCTAGCGGTCAGCAATAAATCTCCTTGGAAGTGAATGTCTCATGAAAGTGTAAAGATAGAAAACAATCTTGGGAGGACTTTTTCTTCAGTAACTTTGCATTTCTAAAGCGACAATGTATATGTTGTCTTTAAGCCACAATTAAATCACTTTAAAAAGCCTTCAAGCTAAATAAGAAGTTTGAACAAAGAGCTATTTTACTTCTGAAATACTAAGATATCACACTTTAAGCCTTTGTTAAATTGCCTTAGGGGCTCATAACAATTTTTTTTTTCTGAAGTCAATGGAAATGTATCATTATCATATATTTTTTTCATTGTGAATTTTCAGAATTATTCACTAGGGCTGGGATATAACTCTACAGTACAAGCACTGGCCTAGCAGGGGTAAGATTCTGAGCTCAATTCCTGTTACCAAA